TATTGTTTAATTTATATGGTGATGTTTAATTTAATAACGGGTTTTTATGATATGATGTTTCAAAGGATTGGAGACAATGCTATTTAGGTATTAGCTAATAGTTATTGTAAACTGGAAGAAATTGCAGATTGGTAGAAATGATTAGTAACGGTGGTGGGAGAATGATAAAACCATGAATGTAGTTATAGTGGTGGTAGCTTGAACTAAAAAGTGGTTGTTGGTGTTTTATTTTTTGTTTTATTTTGTTATATGTATTAATTTATTTTGGTATAAATCCTGATAATAGGTATTCTATGTAAAAATTATGGTAGTTGAAGATTGCTATAATTTTTAATTATAAAATTATTATTATTATATTAAAGCTGCCTGGTAATAGGTGTTTGTTCTCATGGTTGTTACATATGGAAATTATATCTGATCATATTGTTTTAAAGTATTAAATATGCTGGGGGGTAATAAAAGATTGTAATGGATTATATGTTAATAGTGGGTGTGATGTGTAAGTGATGGTGCTGTGTGTAGGTGGTAATGATAATATTGATAGTTAATAGATATTGTAAGGTGGTAAAAGTGATTACTAATGGTGGTGCAATTATGGTGATGCAATTATTTTGATGGTATCTTGAAATTAAATTGTGATTGTTGGTGGTTTGTCTGTTTTATCCGTTTGGTATGAATTCGGATAATAGATACTTGTTCTCATGCCTACATTTGGAGATTATCTCTGATTTTTTTGTTTATAAGTTCTTTTTGCGGTTTGTGTGATATTATTGCTAGTTTTTCGTATGTAGGCAAAGTAGGCATTTTTCGTAATGTTGTTTGTAGGCAGGGGCTTTTTCAATATTTCCCAACTTATTGTTGGTGTGATGTTTTTGTCTTTTTGCTGCCATATGTATGTAGAAAGTGTTGTGCTGTTCGAATATTTCCTGTTGTTGAATGAAAGGTTGTGATTGTTATTCCTCATCTTGAATGGACTTCAGAAAGCACCCGATGTAGTGCATAGTGTTGTTGTTTGTACTTACCTTGGCCTTGTATATTGTGTTCGTAATTTAAAAATTTCCTGGGTGGACATGTTGCTCTGTTTCTGCAGTTGCATATAGGATCATGGTTACATTTTGTAGGTTGTCATTTTTTTTGTTGTGGTTTTGATTATATCTATTTATGTTTTTGTACAGCTGTAATTAATCTGAACGTTATTTTTTGTTAAATATTTTTGATAATTGTTTTTCTTCAATAAAAAAGTGTTTTTCTATTAAGTTTAGGAATATTTTGCCTATGTTCGTTTTAACAGTTTTTGTTATATGGTGGGTTAAACCAGATAATGTTTCTCTTTCTGTTTCTGCGTTTTGGCTGTGGAGGTATATATTGTAGTTGTTGTGTGTAACCACTTGCTTTTAGTGCTTCGTTGTATGGTGCTATTTTGCTATTGAAAATTTGTATGTTAGATGAGTTCTCAGATAGTCTGGGGCTGATTGACTTTTGGTATTTGTTTGATGATAGAAGGTGGATGGTTGGAGGATGTGTACGTAAGTTGGTGTGTCATTTCTTTTTTTTGTATGGTTCATATGTATTTGTTGATCAGGTTAAGAGTGACGTCAGGAAGTTTACTATAGTTGTGCCTGTATTTATCTCTATTTTGAATCAATATTTTTTAGGGCGTTCACAATAAATACCACCATTAGTAATCACTTTTACCACCTTACAATATCTATTAACTATCAATATTATCATTAAAATTTTCATAAACCATCATTACACATCACACCCACTATTAACATATAATGAACTACAATCTTTATTACCCCCAGCATATTTAATACTTTAAAACAATATGATCAGATATAATTTCCACATGTAACAACCATAGAGAACAAACACCTATTACCAGGCAGCTGAAATATAATAATAATAATTTTATAATTAAAAATTATAGCAATCTTCAACTACCATAATTTTACATAGAATACCTAGCTGAAAGGATTTATACCAAAATAAATTAATACATATAACAAATAAAAAAAATAAAACACCAACAACCACTTTTTAGTTCAAGCTACCACCACTATAATTTTACATTCATGGTTTTATCATTCTCAACCACCGTTAACTAATCATTTCTACCAATCTGCAATTTCTTCCAGTTTACAATAACTATACAGGCTAATACCTAAATAGCATTGTCTCCAATCCTTTGAAACATCATATAAACCCCGTTATTAAATTAAACATCACCATATAAATTAAACAATAAGGATTACAATTTTTTACCTGTTACATATACACAGTCAAAAAAAACAAACAAATAACCAGCTTTAAATATAACAAATAAACCCCATTTTTTTGAAAAATTAAAAATAAATATAAATAATCATAATAATTTTTACCTATCATACACCACACAAACCCCACCACACATATATATACATACATGCGAGAAAATATTTTTCAAATATTTTTCAGGAAATAAAAAAAAAAAAAAATAATAATTTCATAATATGACATGGATACATTCACGAGACAATAGATGAGACATTTCCGGACACTTCCAATTTTTTAAATTTCAACATTTCAACATACAAATGCGTATGTATAGACATACTTACCAGTATAAAATACATGTCATAGCCGAAACTGTCTACATATGTTTATATATATGTATGAGTCGACGGACGACCAAGTATATATATGTATATGTGTCTGCATACATCGATGTTTTGCGTTAGTCCGATGAATTTTTTCCAACGAAATTTCCATAAAAAAAAATAACAATAACACCTTTACACGCAATCTACATAAACCCAAATTTTTTAAAACATTAATCAGTTTGTAAATGAAATCACTGTTTACGTGAAAACAGGGTCAAACTCACATCACATCCAAATATGTTATCTATCTCTGATATTGTACGCACAACTTTCTAAATAAATTATCCACAACATATATTATATAAATAATTATACATATATATATATATGTTATATTTATTCACTTTTCACATATTACATATATATATATATACCTGAATTTATGATATTTATATATAATATTTATATATATATATATATATATAATATATATATATTATATTATGAAATTGAATAAGTTCTAAATGTTTATATATATATATATATTATAGCGTGTATATATATATATATATATATGATATATATCAAGAAATATATAGAATTTATATATACTATATGAGTAAAACTGAAATATATAACTTTATAAATAAATAATTAGGAATGAATATATATTCTAAGAGGTTTGTTAAATTATATTATCACCCTTTTCCTATACAATGTATAACATATTAATGTTGTATTTTTTTTTTATAATCTTGAAAATATATATATATATATAAAATAATAAAAAAATATATATATATATATATATATATATATATCGATCATTTATATATATATATATATATTGCATAAAAATAAGTTATATAAAATATATTTTTAATTAAATTTATTCCTATATATTTCAGTATATATATATATATATAATACATATCAAGTATATATATATAAAATTTTTATATATAATAATTTGTATATAGTATATATATATATATATATATATATATTATTATATATATATATATATATATATATATATATATATATATATATATATTGAAAATATATATATATATATATTTTAAAATATATATATAATATATATATATATATATATATATATATATATATATATATATATATATATATATTTATACCAGCAATCCTTCTTTCATGCTCATTTCATTGAATACGTGCTTTTATTTAGTTTTTTATACAATTTCTCATGCGATCTAATATTTTTTTTTCTTTTGGATGATAATATATAAAAATTCATCTGAATGTTCTTTTTTATCCAAGCGCTTTCAGCTATACATTTAGCCATTTTCAACGATTAAATATTCTAACTGTTAAAATAAGAAATAGTTTATTTGTATGTATGTTTTTATAAAAATTTTTTTTTTTTTCAAAACACTGTCAAGATATTGTGTTCATGTTCAAAGTTAATATTATTAAGTGTTGTTTTTTTGTTTTTATTAATAAGGCTTCCATTATTTTTAGCCTTTTTGATGCTATTATATTAGTGTTGTCAACAAGTATGTGCTGAATAGTGTCCAGTAGGTCTCCATGAATATTTAAATGAGATCTAATTGGGCAATGGTCAGAAAGGTGTAGAGTGAGTCTGCGTGTCAAACATGTAGTGTGGCCTATACAATTATTTATGAATTTTGAGTGATCAGGAATACAATTCCTTAATGGGCATTTAAATTCGTAAATAATACTTGCCCTAATTAATTTTGTTCTAGGAGATGAATTATTATTTTTAACTATAAGGTTAGAGGTTTTAAATTTTTTGCAATAAATAATTAATCTAATTTTTTTGCTATTGTCAACTGGTGTTATGCATTTTTTTTATAATGTTCTTAATTCTGCATTCATCCTGTTTATAATTTTCGTTCATTTAAATTTTATAAAAAATATTAATGTTATTGTTTATGTTTCTATTCTTGCTGTTACTATTAGCTATCATAGACAAGAAATGCCTAATGTGGAAATCCAACAACTGATTAGGAAATCCATTATTAATCAGTGTTTGTTTTACATTGTTTAAGGAAAAGCATGTGCAAGGATGAGTTCTCATGAGGAAATTTTTAATAACACCTATTTTATATCTAAGTGGACATTCACTAGAGAAATTAAGATGGCAAGAGTCTTTACTAGTTGTTTTTTTATATGCAGAAGTTTTAAAAGTATTATTACTAAAATTGACAAGAACATCTAAGAAAGGTTATTTGTTTTCATTAAGTTCATAAGTAAAATTTAGGATGGAATTTTGTTGAAATGTAGCTTTCAGATTTTCTATTTATTTCTTGTTTTCAGTTAAAATAAATATATCGTCTACATAGCAAACATATATTTTAGGTTTAAAAACTTTAGTAAAAACCTTGTTTTCAACATAGGACATATAATAATTGGAGAAGCACGGCCCGAGAGGGTTTCCCATACTTACTCCATCAGTCTGTAAATAGTACCATTCTGGCTATAAAAAGGAACTCTAGTGGTGCAAGTGAGCAATAGTTTTCTTAAAATATTGGGTTGGATTGATGAAGGTGGAATTAAATTATATTTATACACTGAATTAATGATAATATCAATAGTTTGGGAGATGGGAAAGGTAGTAAATAAATTCTTTGTCAAGTCATGCAAGAATGCTGTGGTTTGTTTTTACTTTTGTGCTTTTAAATATTTGGAGGAATTTATGGGTAGATTTAATAATATAGTTAGTAGGGAGATATAGGGTAATAATCGAGAAATTTTGATAGTCGGTATATGCATATTGGAATCTGAGAAATAATAGGTCATAATGGGTATCCCGGTTTGCGTATTTTAACATTATCGTATATAATCCAGTATTTTTTATTTTCTTGCAGCCTCTTTTTTGGAGCGTTCCCTGATATAGTTGTCGGTGACCCTGAAATTATAGGAGAAGTCCTGGTGAAAAGTTTCTCGAATTTTACGAACAGACCTGTAAGCATTTTTTTCTTTTTTTCTCTTTTAATTTGAATCTGGGTAAGAAAATGTCTTACTTAACACTTCCACTATTGTATTGTTATAGCATTTGTTGTTTGTTGTGTACCTGAATATTCTACCCCTCCTTACCTGAATATTCTACCCCTCGCTACTAAATATTCTACCCCTCCCTACCTGAATATTCTATTAAATATTCTACCCCTCCCCTACCTAAATTCTACCCCTTCTAATATTCCCCACTTACCTGAATATTCTGCCTCCCTACCTAAATATTCTACCCCTACCTGAATATTCTACCCTCCCCTACTAAATATTCTACCCCTCTACCTAAATATTCTACCCCTCCTACCTGAATATTCTACCCTGAATATTCTACCCCTCCTACCTAAATATTCTACCTAAATATTCTACCCTCCCTACCTGAATATTCTACCCCTCCTTACCCTTCCTACCTAAATATTCTACCCCTTACTATTCTACCTCGCTTCGTGAATATTCTGCCTCTCCCTACCTGAATATTCTACTCCCCTCCCTAAATATTCTACCTACCCTACCTAAATTCTTCCTTACCCCCCCCTACCTGAATATTTACCCCCTACTAAAATATTCTACCCTACCCCTAAATATTCTACCCCTCCTTACCTAAATATTCTACCTCCTTACCTAAATATTCTACCCCCGCTACCTGAATATTCTTCCTTACCTAATATTCTACCCTACTAAATATTTCTACACCTGAATATTCTGCCTCCTACCTGAATATTCTACCCCTACTAAATATTCTACCCTACCTAAATATTCTACCCCCTCCTAAATATTCTACCCCTCCCTGAATATTCTACCCCTCCTACTAAATATTCTACCCCTCCCCCCTCCCCTACCCCTCGCTACTAAATATTCTACCCCCTTACCTGAATATTTCTAGCACCTACTAAATATTCTCCCTACCTAAATATTCTACCCCTCCCTACCTGAATATTCTACCCCTCCCTACTAAATATTCTACCCCTCCCTACCTGAATATTCTACCCCTCCTTACCTAAATATTCTACCCCTCCCTACCTGAATATACCCCCATTCTACCCCCCCCTACCTGAAATATCCTACCCTACCCTCCCTACCTGAATATCTACCCCTCCTTACCTAAATATTCTACCCCTCCTTACCTGAATATTCTACTTCTACCCCTAAATATTCTACCCCTCCCTACCAGAATATTCCACCCCCTTACTAAATATTCTACCCCCCTCCCTGAATACCCACCCCCTACTAAATATTCTACCCCCCTACCTGGAATATTTCCCATCCTGAATAAATTCCTACCCCTTCCTACCCCTAAATATTCTACTCCTCCCCTACCTGAATGAATAAATTTTACCCCTCTGAATATCTACCTAAACCTAAATATTCTACCCCCCCCCTAAATATTCTGAAAATATTCTACCCCTCCTTACCAGAATATTCCACCCCCCAACTAAATATTCTACCCCTCCCTACCTGAATATTCTACCCCTCCCTACCTGAATATTCTACCCCTTCCTACCTAAATATTCTACCCCTCCTTACCTGAATATTTTACCCCTCCTTACCTAAATATTCTACCTGTCCCTACCTGAATATTCTACCCTACCCTACCTGAATATTCTACCCCACCCTACCTAAATATTCTACCCCTCCTTACCTGAATATTCTACCTCTCCCTACCTGAATGTTCTACCCCTCCCTACCTGAATGTTCTACCCCTCCCTACCTAAATATTCTACTTCTCCCTACCTAAATATTCTACCTCTCTTTACCTGAATGTTGTACCCCTCCTTACCTAAATATTCTACCTCTCCCTACCTAAATATTCTTACCTGCTGTTATTTGTCAGTGTTGAAAAATTAAATGTTGCCTTCCTGATTTTTTAGTTAGTACTAGACATCAGAACTTATACTAAGTCATTGACTGATATGAATTCTTTCCCAATTTTTTTCTTTTTTACAGGTTAATAGGAGTAGATAGGCATCTGGTCCACACGTCTTCCATGTCAATTGAACAGGAGTAGAGGTTCATCCCTTTTTCTTTGTTCAGGATATGGTTTACCAGATCTCTTTCTTTCTCTTACCTCGGCCACAATCATTTAACTGTATTAACTTTTTGGTGATCATACTAACCAATGGCTGTGACTTTCCATTATGAGGGTACAGAGTTGACCATTTGCTGGCTGTTGCTTCCAACTGGTCATTAAGGGCCCAAACCCTTTGGTATCACTTAAAGAGGCTGCTCTGATCAACAGTTGCATAATATAGGGGTATCTGTAGTGACATGTTGCACATGCGTAGGTGTCTCTGCATTTGTTTCCTGTTGGCAACTCTGAAGCTGCATTATGCTCTGCCCTCAGCCATTTCCTGGCTGGTTTGTATTGCCATTGATGACAGTGACAATTGTGGTGGACATTTTCTTCTCTCCTCAAGACATATCTCATGGAAATCACAACAAAAAGAAACAAAACTGAATCAACTAACAACCCCAACCCCCAAATCTTTCTTTCTATCAGTATCCATTCCAACTTTTACAGCATAGAATCATTCTTCCTTGAATAGTCAACAGATATCTTTGCCCTTTGTGAAACCAACTTGAATTCTTTCATTGTGACCAATGAATCCTTGGTTCCAGGATATCATCCTCTTTGCTGGAAAGGTACCAGCATTCACATGCATGACCTTGGTGTTTACATCTTGGATAATCTTCCAGTGGCCTAGAGAATTGTCTCTCAAGGTCACTGACTACTCTTTCATGTGATCCTGTCTTTCACTACTAAATTCTGTCATCTCTTTTTCCTTTATAGCTCCCCCTCTTCCCAAGACTGCAGTATATTATATACAATAGCTGACAGTACAGAAAAGATACTTTCTACCGATTCATCTGCGAACATCTTTGTCTTTGGTGAATTTAATGCTTTGCAATACTGCCCTCTAGGTAACTCAGATCACTCTGTGTAGCTATTGATATTGCCTTCCAAACATTCATTAAATAGGACCTCCCCCATCCATAAGACCTCTACCAACATGCTGATTGGGACATTCTGGGATTTTCATGATGCCTCTTGGACTGACATCTTCAACCTTCCAATTGAATGCTGATGTTTCTTCTTGGGATGATTTCATCCCTTCTTGGAAATACCAGCTGAAACCATAATCCTCTCTATGGTTCATACCAGCATACTCCACCAAAATAGCACACAGGAACCACTATTTCTGGCTATACCAGTATAACATCTCTCATCATAACAGGGGCCTATTTGCTACTGCTTGTAACTGTCAGAGAGACCTCGAAGGAACTAAGTCTCTGTTTGTTGAGAGAATGAAGCACTGCATAGCCTTTAAAAACTTTGGCTCTCATGATTACTGGCATCTCTGTAATAGAGTACTAAATAAGTGCAAGGTCTCTATTCCCCTACTTTTCAATTGATTTGAGGTGTTATCATCTTCTGCCGATAAAGCTGAATAGTTTACCTGTAAATTCTCCTTAACCTATACTCTTGACTCATCTGCCTAACTTCCCACTTAGAACTGAGTCTCTGTTGTGTGATATACATATAACCCCTTCCATGGTTTCTGCTTTCGTCTCTAACCTGGATCCCCACAAAGCATGTGGATCTGATGGTATCCCTGTAATAGTCATTAAGAAGTGTGCTCCCAAACTGGCTCTTGTTCTCTCTAAACACTATAATACATGCGTCAGTGCCTCCTGCTGTCTGCCCCTTGTCATCGTTTGTTGTTCCAGTTTTTAAGAACTATTTGACCCTTCCAACTATTGGCCTATTAGCCTTCTACCTCTTTTTGGGCAGCTCCTAGAGGCCCTAATCAATGCTAAATTGGTTCATCATCTTTTATCGCAGGGCCTTTCCTCAGACAAGAAAAATGGCTTTCCTGGCCTGTAACATTGGATATCTTGAAAGCCTTTAATAGGATCTGGCATTCATGACTTCTCCACAAGCCGAAAAGTTATGGTGTCTCTGGGCATATTTTTGAGCTGATCTAGTTGTTCCTATCAAATCTTGAAATGAAAGAATGGTTACTCGTCTACATCCTTTTGTACTAATGCAGGTGTCCCTGCTGTTTTTAATCTTCATTAACAATCTTCCCAATGACATCAGCTCTCAAATCGGTATCTATGCTGACAACACTATCATTTACTCCTGCCTTGACAGTAAAGCTGATTAGTCTGACAAGGTCAAAATGGAAGCTGGTGTTCAAAACAATCTCAAGACTGTTTTGAATTGGGGCAAAAGATGGCTTGTGGATATTAACACTTTTAAAACTAAACATCTCTCCATTAATGATCTGAGAAACCCCTTTTTGCCTTCCTCCAGGAAAGTAACTTATTGCACCATCTTGAGCTAATGTTTGTAGCTGGCATGAAGTGGAAAGACTAAATTGAATCCATTGCTACATCAGCTGCTAAGAAAATCAGTTCACTGTGCCAGGCAAAATAATTTTTCTCTCCTGAATCTATCATGCATATCTATAAGTCTACCATTTGCCTATGCTCTGAGTATTGCTGCTAAATATGGCCTGGTGTACCTGCTGTTTAGCTGGAGCTCTTTCATAAATCCAAAGAAGAATCAGAAATATTATTGGCCCTGATCTGGCTGCTTGGCTTCAGTGATTTTTTAGTTAGCTTGATGAATATTTATGAGTATTCTTAAATTTAAACATTTTGAGAAACTAACGACATTTTTACTCCTGTTTATAAATACTTGTTGAAAAATAAAATCCTTACATTTGCCTCAAAAAAGTCCATCAGAGGACGAAACGCATTGTCTTTATTCATATTGTCCTTTTATAGATATATCTTTACTTATATCTTAAATTTTATATACACATACATATATTTGTTTTGTTTTCTCTTTATATAGTTGGGCTTTCAGCTGGATGATTATGGTGCAGCTATGTTAACTGCTGCAAAAGACGACCACTGGAAATATCTTCGTACTGTTTTGGCACCATCTTTCAGTTCGAAAAGAATGCGTGAGGTCCGTATAAAATTCATTTGTACAAGTAATTCTTTTTCTCTTAGGTTAGAAGTGGTTTTAACTGATCATTGATTGATTTAAACATTATGCAAGCATAATGCAAACTAAACAACTTAAAATGTGTGAACAACTTAAAAAAAAATCTTATATTTCTAGGGTCACCAATTTTCTGTAAATTTGTAACTTTGTTTTATTATTTGTTAAACTTGAATTGTTTTCATCTTCATCTCTACCTCTTCTAATTCCTTCATCTTGTCTATCCTTTGTTCATTTGAGCAATAAACTACAGATGTCAGCTTTGGCTGCTCTGTTAGGAAGCTCCACAATAGTTTATGTACCACTGCACTTGGATTAACAATTGCATCATCTTTTCCATTTTAAAAACATAAATGAATTGGTTGCAAGTTTAGAGGAAGTGATAGGCCATATGAAGAAACTTGGGTTGATATTAAAACCCCCAGAATTGTTTGGAGACACAATGCTAGAAAAGAAAAAAAAAATGGAATCAGAAATTTAATATTTGGAAGTGGGGGGGATTTCCTCTTCATTTCAAAGTAGGTGATGAATTAAGGTGAGAACTATTTTCGATTTGCCGTTAATATTATCTTTTCTTTTAGACATATAGCATTATTGTGGAATAGCAATGTTTTTCTACAATGTCTAATTAGGTTTATTTTATCATCCGAAATTTGGATGTATTCTTTGGCTAAGATGAGGGCTTCATTTAGGGTTTTCTCTGAAATAGACGGGTAATATTCCTTAATATCATACCTAATTTCGGATATCAACGGTTTTGACAACCCTATGGGAGCATATGATGGAGCAGAGGTGTGCGAGGTAGTAGGGTGCCTGCTGCTCCATAAGCTTAATGAATATATAGATTTTAATAACCATGGGTTGTACCATGACAAGGGTTTAATTATAGTGGATAAAAGTAACCCTCAAAAATGTGACACTATACGTAAAAAACTACACTGGTTTTTTAAAAATTTGGATTTAATCTCGAAATAGAAACTAATTTGAAAATCACTAACTATTTAGATATTATGTTGAATTTACAAAATGCTACAATATCCCCGTATAAAAAAGAGAACCAGGAACCCCAATATTTAAACATAAAATCTAATCACCCAGTCCATATCATAAGGCATATTCCTAAAAATATTGGGTATAGACTTTCTACTAATTCCTCCAATAGGGACATTTTTGAGGCCAATAAAACAAGTTATGAGGAAGCCCTATCTAAAAGTGGATATAAAAATAAATTGGAATATATTAATATAAGTAACCATAACAGTACTCAGAATAAACGTAACAATAGGCAGAGAAAGATTTTGTGGTTTAACCCTCCTTTTAATTTAGCGGTAAAAACAAAAATTGGCAAAATATTTTTTGACTTATTAGAGCAACATTTCCCAAAAAAACTGAGTTACATAAAATATTCAATAAAAATAATGTAAAACTTAGTTATTGTTGCATGCTTAATGTAGGGACCTTAATAAGTGGATTGAAATAAGAAAAAAACTAGAGATAATCCACGCAGTAATCCTCCTACTTGTAATTGTAGAAACAAAAATATCTGCCCATGTCAGCAAGAATGTGTGGTTTATTAAGTGAAAATTTACAAGGATAGGGAGGATACTAACCCTAAAATATACATAGGTGCTACTCAGGATAAATTTAAAAAAAGATACTATAATCACACAAGTAGTTTTTAAAAACAAAAAAACTAAACATAGTACCACGTTATCCACCTATGTATGGAAAACCAAACAAGAAAATGATAAAGACCCCATCCTTAAATGGGAAATATTAAAAAGATGCCCCAAATATAAAGCAGGCCAAAAACTTTGTAAATTATGTACTGAGGAGAAACTAGCCATAGCTTTATATGATCAACCTAACCAGCTATTAAACTCCAAAACTGAAATTCTTAACATATGTAGGCATAAAAAAATCTTGGTTACTAAAGTAGACGATTTTTCCCATTTATTTGTCATTCCACCTTAATGTTCGTATTTTAATATCCCCTCCCCTTTTTGTTGAATAGGTCTTTAAACCTCCCCCCACACTCAGGTGGTTGTGTTTGCGTTTGTGTGGTTCTTTCTTTGGTCACATGGTATAATTTTGGCTAACGCCTATAAATATGCGTTTCCCTTTGCCTCTTTAGCCGACTTTCCCTGACGATCCGTTTAGGTGAAACCTAGGTAGGTTTGTCTGGCTCACTAGGTTTATCTCTCTCTCTCTCTCTCTCTCTCTCTCTCTATATATATATATATATATATATATATATATATATATATATATGTGTATATATATATATATATATATATATATATATATTCTGAATTCATATTTCAGACGGTTCCTTTGATTGAAGATGTCCTGAAGACTTTTGACAAGAAATTAAATGATATTGCAGAAAGCAAGGAAGCAAGAGATGTCACTGAGTGAGTCTTTGTCTGTTCATAAATTTTCCAAAAATATTCTTCACTTCTCAAACCTAAATCTTCCCCTGTATAATAACGTATTTTATTTCTTGCCTGATTTTGGTAGTAAAAGAAATGTAAAGTGCTCCCTTTTTCACACCATTAATGTTTTTCTTACAACCCCAAATTCTGTTGAAATCCTTTAATGGCCCAAGGAGATGTTGCGGGAGGGCAATGGTGAAGTGGAACAGTTATTGGCACTGGAAGTGAAATTGGTTTACAGGGTTCAAATTCTTGCCTTGTCTGTTCACTTTAGCATAAATTCTCTTAAAAAGAGTATAAATCCATCTCTTCTCCCTCAATCTATGGGTTAAATTGTAAACAGATTTCTAGTTTTAGTTGGCAACCCATTATGGATAAAGATTAGTGTTTTGAATTCAGCATGAAACATTCCATCATATTTCTCAAAAAGTCATGGCAATTCCCAGATATAAAGAAATGGAATCTGTGGAGAGACATGATCACCCATATCCTGAAGGGACATGGTATTTAAACAGAAAGCAATAGCCAATGAAATTCCTTGTACTTATTTATAAATAGCAGAAAATATTTTGAAAATAATGTGATGGGCTGAAACTTTTCAGATGTACAGCCCAATGCATTAAACTTTGCTTATATAATGTCTAATCCCATTGAAATTATAGCTTTCCACCTTGTAAAGTGATTGCTATATGTACAAATTTGATTCTTTGCCCTCTTGCCACTAAGTTGTTTTCTGGTTATACAATGGACATGATTGCGTCAACTGGCTTTGGAATTAAGGTTGCTTCACAGGAAAATCCTATCAGACCTATTGTCAAAAACTGTTACTTTTCAGTCTGCAAATTGGTTTCTTTTTTTTTTTAAATAGTTTGTTTTCTGGTTATACAATGGATGTGATTGCGTCAACTGGTTTTGGAATTAAGGTTGATTCACAGGAAAATCCTGACAGCCCTATTGTCAAAAATGCTAAGAAAGTCTTTGCCGCTGACTTTTTTCAAAGCTTGCAGGTGGTGGCTGGTAAGTACATTGGAGAAGGATTTAATCACTTGTAATGGTGATTGTCTTCATAAGTATTTTAATGATTTACTAAATGTTACCTTCATGACTTTTAATGAGGTAATTTAATTAATTTGGTTATGTCGATCTTCCTGTCAAGTAACTAATTATGATAGATTATATTTGGTTATAAGATAACAGCTCTAGTCTGATATCCTATATTTCTGAAAGGAAAAAGTTGTAAATAATCATGAAATTTCTGCCTTGATGGAACCATTGGAAGTTCTTTGACTATTAATTTCTCTCTCACTCTTTCAATTTGTCCCTCTCTGGCAGCCGCTTTCAATTTGTCTCACTCTCATACCCTTTTCCAATTTGTCTCTCTCTATCTCACTCACCCACTTTGAATTTGTTTCTCTCTCTCACTTCCACTTTGAAATGTCTCTCTCTCTCTCTCTCACTTCCACTTTGAAATCTCTCTCTCTCTCTCTCACTTCCACTTTGAAATCTCTCTCTCTCTCTCACTTCCACTTTGAAATGTCTCTCTCTCTCTCTCTCTCACTTCCACTTTGAAATGTCTCTCTCTCTCTCTCTCTCACTTCCACTTTGAAATGTCTCTCTCTCTCTCTCTCACTTCCACTTTGAAATGTCTCTCTCTCTCTCTCTCACTTCCACTTTGAAATGTCTCTCTCTCTCTCTCACTTCCACTTTGAAATGTCTCTCTCTCTCTCCTTCCACTTTGAAATGTCTCTCTCTCTCTCACTTCCACTTTGAAATGTCTCTCTCTCTCTATCTCTCTCTCACTTCCACTTTGAAATGTCTCTCTCTCTCTCTCACTTCCACTTTGAAATGTCTCTCTCTCTCTCTCTCTTCCACTTTGAAATGTCTCTCTCTCTCTCACTTCCACTTTGAAATGTCTCTCTCTCTCTCTCTCTCACTTCCACTTTGAAATGTCTCTCTCTCTCTCACTTCCACTTTGAAATGTCTCTCTCTCTCTCTCTCACACACACCCACTTTCAACTTGTGTATCTCTTCCTCACATTGGCTTTCAATTTTTCTCTCTCTCATAACTGATTTCAATTTGTCTCACTCTCACTCACATCTGCTTTCAATTTGTGTCTCTCTCTCAACCGCATTTAATTTGTCTCTCTCTCTCTCTTACACCTGCTTTGACTTTGTCTCCCTCTAACACTTTCACTTTCTCTTTCTCATGCTATCTATATCATGTGAGACTTTTTAGTTATTTCTGCTGCTAATGTTTAGTTCTTCTGCTTTTTTGTCACATTGTTCCAATGCTTCCACTCACAAACCAGAATTTCCATCCTGGGTATGACAATAAACTAAATCTGCGTCCTGAGTAAGATGATAAACTACATCTAACAGCAAAGCCTCTGATCAGGAGGTTTTGCGGAGCGTGAAACCACCTTTTAATTGCTGGTGTTCCCAAGTTCACCCTGACCTGAGGTGATAGCACCTGTTAGGGTCACAGCTCTGGGCAAATAGTAATCCATCAAACTGGGGTTAAAACACTATGAAAGTATAAAAATAGGTTTTAATACCAGAAATACTTTGTAAAAAAATTTATTACCAGCAATACATTTTTGAAAAAAAAAAATTACCAGCAATTAAAATTTTGTTGGCATTGAATAAGCCATTGAGGTTGATATGCTGTAAAGCAAAACAAACCAAACCAGAATTCTTTTACTGCCAATTACAAAAATATCATTTAAAGCTGGAAATTGAACTGTTCTGTTTTTCTCACCAAAATCAAAATCGAAAACTTTGTATACAGAAAAAATTAGAAAGTTTTATTTATTTATTCTTCAACATTTTCAAGAGCCGAGGAAATTAATTATGATATATATAATATTTATCTATTTTAGGATATTACATCAAAAACATGTCAAAATTGCTACACAATTGCTGTCGTGTTTTGATGCATATTAATGCATCTCATCTGGTGATTGCAAATTACTGGCAAGTGAATGATCTATTTAGATTTAAAAGCAAAATATAACGTCTTTTTATGAAAAATAATGGGGGGTTATAAGCTTTGTGGGCTTTACTTAGGACAACCAATCAAATATGACCTATGTTAAATTTAAACTAAGAAGAAAAGCAAAAATTAAAAAATTATTTTTTATATAACTGGGTCATGACCTGTAGATTGGCAGCTAACGGCAACCAGACATAAACTAGAGTGGATGCAAATGGTTACATAAATTATAAAAACTAGACAATGTCATTTCCTAAGAAATAAAAATGGGGTGGAGAGGTAATTTAATGAAATGCTAAACAAGTTATATGCTTTTTGAATTTCCTACATGAAAAATTTTTATAGGCGATAAATAAATAGCTTATTTAAGAAACTAATAAATAATTTACACATATAGAATTATTTGGTAAATTAATATGCCACTGTTGAATAAAGATTAAGATGTTAATAACACAAACCAGTCAATGTAAAATGTCAAAAATATCAACCAAATACCAATACATCCATGCAAGATGTTACTAATACTACCAGGAGATTAATACAAAATTATATTAAGTCCAAATTAATCTTACAAAGGTAAGCCATATATGGTGCAATGCAGTACAGCTAAAATATATGATAAAGCATAATCAAATTACAAAGTTTAACTAAATTGTAAGGTAAAAATTAAACTATGTTTACAATTTACTGTTACTTCATTTCTTTGATTTAATAAGGAATTTTTATTGAATCTGATAATTTCCAGCTTTTCATGTAAGCACAGGGTTCATATAAAGATTTACTTGTCCTTGTCATTTTGAAAATTTTTCATTTTGCCTTAGGAGTTTTATTATCATCTTTTAAACTCCAAAAATATTTAGAAAGTGATATATTATTTCTGTAAGTACTCTTGGTGAAGGACAAGGTATGTTGATACCACCTAGTCTTGAAAGAATTCTTAGTACTACCAATATAGAATTTTTCAACTGTCGGATTCTCTATTGTAGAGATAGTACAAAGATAAACAAGAGATTTAGTTAAACATTTGTTTGGCAATGGGCATTGGTCCGAATTTCTACATTTACATTTGCCATTATCATTATTAATATTTTCCTTGGAACGTGTATTATGATCCAGATTATTAAATTTAAAATTTTAAGCCAATTTGCCAAACAAATGTTTAACTAAATTTCTTGTTTATCTTTGTACTATCTCTACAGTAGAGAATCTGATGGTTGAAAACTTCTATAGACTAAAGAATATTGCTCTACTTTGTATTGAGCCCTCTTTTATATTAAATGCTACAAACATTAGAATTGTGCTCTATTCATTCTCATCTTACCTGGATATATATATATATATATATATATATATATAGATATATAGATATATATATAGATATATTCATGCTGTTTAATAAATTTACCAAATTAATCTTGTATATTTGCTTGTCTTTCAGTCATCTTTCCTGCTTTTGCAATAATTGCCAACTGGCTAAAACCAGGTTTATTATTTGGCAGCATGAGATATTTTATTGATTTTTGCAAAGAATTGGTTGAAGAAAGAAGAAGACACAAAGACAATAGTGTAAGTATTTCAATTCTCTGAAAAATATATTTGAATTGTCGTTAATGGCATTGTCTTACTTGTACAGTGGGTGGCAGAAGTAACACTGACATATGTAACACTCACATGATACTTAGTCTTTAGCTAGATGAAGACACCATTGCTAGTAATGTTCTACTATTATGTGGGGGCATTTTTGTAGTAACATGTATGAATTAAATCTTTTTTTCTTCCTATACAAAATGTTAATTTGAAGGTTCTTTAATACATGATACTTGGGCCCAGTCTTTGAATACCAATGGGGGCGGGGGTGATTCCATAGAACAGGGTGTCACACATACAGCCTAAATCCGGCCTGCCAAGGGCTTCAATGTGGCTCTTGAAACAATTTTGAACAAGCTGAAACCTAGCAACGTTTTTCTCACCTGTACTAGCTGGTATTTAAGAGATTAGCCCCACAGTTTGAATTATTTGAATTATCTAACATGCCAGAAAGTAAACATCCGACCAGTTGGGATATGTCAAAGCTTTGTATTGCCCAAGCCAAGACAATAGGCCATGTGTCTTAAACCGCAAATGCCTATTCATCTATCTCTCTATAATAACAAGATAATTGTGTTTAATATTATATCTTGGCATTTTGGAAACCAGTCTAACATATTACCTGTGTCAAGTATATTGTAGCATTGCTTTTAAAATTTGGTTAAATTCTCACCATGTTGTCAAAAAAACAAATGGTTGATACAGAATGCAGAATATTCCAAGAGAAGTGGACAGATTCATATTTTTTTACATCTGTAAATGGAAAATCTGTGTGTTTAATATGCATGCAGCAAATTTCTGTTTTGAAGGAATATAACATTCACTGGCACTATGACATCACCATAGCAATAAATTCAGAAATTTGAAAGGGAAAGCAAGGACAGACAAAGCAAATAAATGTTGTCTGGTTTAAACAAATAGCAGTCCATTTTCAGTCATAGTATGGAAGTTAGCGATGTGTCTGCAAAAGCCAGCTATGTCATTGCTAAAGAAATTACTGCGGCATCCAAGCCATTCTCTGTTGCCGAATTTGTGAAGAATTGTTTGTTGAAAGCTACAGAAATTGTGTGTCCTGAAAAACGCCAGTCTTTTACAATATAAGCTTGACAAGGAACAATTTTTTCGTATTTCAGACCATGCAGCTAATATAGATGGCCAACTCAAGGAAAAAGTGGCATCTTTTGTGGCATATTCAGTTGTTATTGATGAGAGTACTGACATTGCAGACATTACTCAGCTTGCAATTTTCATCTGTGGAGTTGATGCAAGTTTAATAGTTACTGAATAGTTTGTTCAGTTTGTATCAATGACAGGAAGGACAAAAGCTGAAGATATCTTTGGTTCACTTGTTGGTACATTGTTGGAGTCGACTGGTCTCATGTTGTCAGTGTTGCTCCAGATGGTGCACCTTTAATGACTGGAAAGAAATCTAGAGTTGTAGCAAAATTGAAGGAGAAAGTGCATACTTCAAATAGAGAGCTAGGCTTCTGAACATTTCAAGAGGAATTATGCTGCAAGTCACTGAAAATAGACCCTGTGATGGAAGTTGTTGTTAAAACTGTTGACTTTGTACATGCCAGAGGTCTCAACCACCATGAATTTGATACTCTTCTTAATGATAAAAACATTGGCCATGGTTTGCCATACCATACTGAAGATGGCTAAGTGGGGGTATTGTAATGAAGCATTCTTTTTTTTAACTATGAAGGGAAATTGTAAACATCATGGAAATAAAAGAGAAGCCTGTGGTACAATTACAGTCTCTGGAATGGGTACAGGACTTTGCATTTATGGTGGATATAACCAACCATTTGTATAACATGAAAAGAATATTGCAAGGTCGTCACACAGTACTATGATAACATACAAACCTTCAAGTCTAAACTTGTTTTGTGGGAGATGCAGTTGTCAAACGACTATCCTGCACATTTTCCATGCCTAAAAGATCTTTGAAATGCTGAAAGTGCTGAGGACTTGAGCCAGTTCAAAGAGAAAGTTTCCAGTTTGCTTCAACAATTTGAGCAGCACTTTGAAGTATTTGATGAATTGGAGACAGAATTCAAAATCTTTTGTCGTCCATTCTCTGTGGCACCTTCTGATGTGCCAACTGATATGCAACTTGAGATAATTGATTTGCAGTCTGACTCAAACTTGAAAGAAAAGTTTACCTCTGTTTGCCTTGAAATATACAAGTATCTTTTTCCTGCCTATTCCAAAAATGAGAGACGTAGCTGCCAAAATTTTGTGTATATTCAGAATTACTTACATATGTGAGTAAGTTTTCTCAGTAATGAGTATCAACAAAAACAAGCTCTGTTCAAGGCTAACAAACAAAAAATTAAATGACATCCTGAAACTCACTGCTTCACAGGAAATCTCCCCGAATATTGATGCACTTGTCAAGGCTAAATGGTGTAAAGTGTCTGGATAACACTAAGTTTAGCAAATGGCTAATATTGTTAAAAAATTGAAAAATAAAGCTTAGACTAGTTTTCTGAATGTTAGAAAGTTTTGTAAAGAATTCAGTGTAAGCTAATTTGGTTCATTTCAAAATATGGTATTGCTTGTAACAATTTTTATTGAATAAAAACAATACAATTTTCTTGATCTTGATATTTTCTGTATATCTCCAACCCACTTGATGTAAAATTGAGCTCATGTGGTCCCCAAATTGAAATGAGTTTGATGCCCCCGCCATAGAAGCTCAGGACATATATTTGAGTCATTTAAAATTACAGGCACGTAAAGATCTGTTGCAACTGATGTTGGATGCTCAACTTGAAGGCCATGAAAAGTTGGACAAGAAAACTGAACAAGAACTCAAACTGGAAAATGTAACAGACTGGAGAACAAAAAGAGGTAAAGGAAGATTGATTATCATTAGACATAACTCACTGGCAAGGTGACCTGGCATTAGCTGGGCTTAAAATAATTTGGGCAAAAATGTGTGTCTCGGTTTGGGCTTTGCAGCCATCAATGTCGACATAATGTCATCAACTAGTGACTTTTTCTCTTCTCATTCTTTCCATTTGATGGAACAAATGTCATTGCCATTATCAAGGGAATTCATAAATTGCAGTAATATGGAGGATTATATAGCCAACAGATGCAAAAAAGATGGAAGATCTGTTTATATTAATCTGTATAGATTTATTTAGATGCCTTCTGACCCCACTTTCAAATGAGTAAATTCAAACAAATATTTTTAGAAAATCTTTTTCAATAAGTCAACATTAGCTACTGACCTTGTATTTTCTTTATCTTTATATTTTATATGTCCATAAAATTAATCATTAAGTAATGTTCATATGTGTACTTAATTAGTCAATTGCTTCATTTATTCTGATAATTTAGCTTCATGCCTCACCAATATCTACTCAAAGTGTAAGTCTCTTTTTATAAAATATTTATTTCTATAAGATTAACAACAATATTAGTAACAGGAAAATTTATAAATACAAAATAACAGAACCATTCATTCAGTAGAAACCTAATTCTAAGATGGCTGCCAAAGACTCACCAGCCACCATATTTGCAAATTTTTTGAAAGGTTTGATTTGAACATTAGAAAATAAGATCAATTGTGTTGGGTTATGTTGTCCTAATTTTCAAAACTGCTATTAGGAGTTGTTTTCTGGACTACTCGGGGATATTTTTCTTGCCCTCTTCTCACCTTATCCACTTATTTGTCAACATGTAAATCTCTTGTGGAGAATGTGTTCCCTTTTGGGAAATGCATGAACAACACACACACACACACACACACATACATATGCACATTCACCCACTTCACATACTTTGAGTCAAAACAGTTTTCACATTCATTTGACACACACATTGTTTTTGTTGCTTGTATACTTTTATTGTTAATACATTGTCATTTGTACATATTTATTGGTTCCTGTCATTTCTTTACATGGACTCACATCCTGAGTCTGCCATGTTTGTTGTGGGTATTTCCGGAGACACATGTGATTATCTCTCAATGCATACATTTACCTGTGACACTTTGAAACTATGATATTTGCTCTTAACTTCTTCTTATCAATAACAATATCTGATTAGAGATACGTTTGATGGAAATAATGGTAAGTGTAGGTCAAAGATAAAAGATAGGACTTCTAATTAAGATGTCAGAGATTAATTTCTACCTAGAAGAAAGGATTCCAGTGATGCCCATTAAATGGGATCCATAAACATATATGCACTAGTTGACATATTCATCCCAAGTTTTATTATTCATAACCCCATTGTGAATATTAAATACAAAAATATCAATCTGATAGACCAATTATCTACTTCTAGAGTTTATAGCAAAGAGCTGTTCAAATTTATGAGATGATTTTAGCATGTGAAAAATCTTCTAATTTAATGTTGTTAATGGATTCCTTTTTCTTGCAGGTCTTACAGACGTGGAAATCATTGCTCAGTGTATGATTTTCTTTCTGGCTGGTTTTGACACCACAGCAACCACTCTGTCCTTCTTTGCACACTCCATAGCAACGAACCCGGATGTCCAGGAGAAACTTTATCAAGAAATAAAAGAAAAACTTGAACAGGTCAAATATTTTAATTATCCAAATCATTAGAATTTGTTTTTGATTCATTTTTCATCCTTGTCTCTACTTCAAGAGGTTTTTTCAAATTAAAGAATCAGGATTTCATTTATGTCCTAATTTTAACAAATTCACTTGATTATCAATGAATTTCTAAGTCAATGAATCAATGAAATATATATATATATATATATATATATATATATATGTGTGTGTGTATATATATATATATATATATATATATATATATATAAATATGCAATTTGTTATATTAGTTATATATTATATATGCGCAGTACTTATTGGAAAGCACTCAATATCAGTGATAGAGCTAACATTTAGTTGGATTAATGTGAGTTTGTGACCTTGGGTTTCACGCTATTTGCGATTGTCAGACAAATTGATTAATTTTTAAATTTTGGAATTATGTATGGTTGCATATATCAGTGTTTTTATGGTAGTGGAAAGAAAAATTTTTCTATCTGTTTGGCATGAATTCTGATAACAGGTATTTGTTTTCATGTCTGTATTTAGAAATTATTTCTGATCTTATGTTTAGTAAATTCTTTTGTTGGGTATGAGAAATTAATGCTACCTTTTCGTGTAGGCAAAGTAGGCATTTCTTTCTAATGTTGTTGTAAACAGGTGCTTTTTTCAATATTTTCTTGGTGTAATATTTCTGTCTTTTAGATGCTATATGTATATGGATGGTGTAGAAAAAAAAAATACCAACCAACACTACTACATAAACCACCATTGACCCTATAAACATGAAAAGAAAAACCACTGGCACCATAACACCATCAATTATTTTCTAGTTCAAACTAACATCATAATAATTATAATTATAATTATTATCATTCCACCACCATTACTAGAATCACTTCTACCACTTTACAATAACTATTTGCTGCTACAATTGTTATTATCATCACCTGCTCCCCACACCATTACTACCACATCACAATTACCATTGTTGTATTAGTCCACAATTACTACGATACCACAATTATCATTACCGTATCAGTCCACAATTATACTTACTTCTCCCTTCCCCAGCAAAATTACTACCATCGCATAAATACTAATAAGTATTACAAATTGAAATTTCTACCATTTACATATGTGCAATCGCCAAAAACAAGCAAATAACCGGCTTCAAAATAATGACAAAACAGCCTTAAAAAAATTAAAGATAATAGCAATTTTTACCTACAGAGACCCCATCATACGTATATACGTGTGTGCGAGTAAACATTATTCAGCAAACAAAAATAGAAAAACGATCTGTGCATTGACTGTGCAACAAACAAAAAATATTTGCAACATAATCCAACATTGAATAAAGCAACCAAACACATACATATGTACACAACAACACATGGATGCATGTATATGTCCAGTCCCACACTGTTCACATATGTTTATGTTTGTGTGAGCTCCGGTGAGTGAGCATGTGTGTATCTATGTATGTCAATGAGTGTATGTGCATGTATGTATGTTTGCGTAAGTATGAGTGGTGTACCATTTTTCCTCCCACTTTCATAAAAACACCGATATATGCAATCATATCTAAATCCAAAATTTAAAAATTAATCGGTTTGTCTGACGATTGCAAGTAGTGTTATCCCAGGGTCATATACTCACATCAATTCAACTAAATATATATATATATATATATATATATATATATATATATAGTTGGATTGATGAGAGTATGTATATATATATTTCTGAGATGAGTTATTGTAATTATTTACATTGTTTGAACTGTTGTCCTTATCTTTGTTGCCATATTCATGATGTTTTCGCCATTGTTTGCTTTGGTGTTCTTCAGATGACTGGTATTTGAACTGAACCAAGGTAGATTGTTCTAGTTCCAAGGACACATGGCCCAGTGGATAACATCATTGGTTGGATCCAATGACTTGATGCAGATGAGTTGTGAGTTTGATACTTGGCTACTGCAGTGGTGAACAAAAACTTAGAGTTAAAAGGAAAAACATGAGTTAAAGGGAGATAACTGAGACACCCGGAAGAGGCGTGGCCCGTGGAACTAGAATGATCTATCCTGGTGGAAGAAATAAATGGTTCAGTTCCAAATTCCAATCACCTGAAGAAGGCCAGAGTATATAATGGCTGAAATGTTGTGAATATGGTAACAAAGATGTGAATCCATGAACACTGTGCTAAAAGCTTATCAATGCCTCCAGACCAAATTGGATGTTTCCAAATGAAGGAAGAAATCAAATTCCTTAAATAAGTTGCAGTTGATTTAATTCACTGTCATCAGATTAAGTAAATATTTGTTTTATATTAGCAGGGTAACAAACTATTACAAAATGGCTCTTGAATCATGAGCAACTTTTAGACTGATATTAATGTTCTTTTTCTAGGAATCTCCAAATTATGATAATGTACAGAAGCTGACTTACCTTGACATGTGTCTGGATGAAACATTGAGAATGTATCCAATTGGTTTTCTGTAAGTTCTGTAAAATTTTCACCATATCTATTACATGGATTAAATATAATTTGGAAAACATATGCTTTTCAATCCCAGAAGGGCAACAGACATATTCCTAAAGTGTTATAGAAAACAAATATTATTTTATGTGTACATGAAGTACAAATCTTTTTTATTGTTAAAAATATTAGAGGAAATTTTCTGTGTCTGCAAAGTGTGAAATCTTTGTGTGTCTGCAAAGTTTGAAATCATTGTGTGTCTGCAAAGTGTGAAATCTTTGTGTGTCTGCAAAGTGTGAAATCATTGTGTGTCTGCAAAGTGTGAAATCTTTGTGTGTCTGCAAAGTGTGAAATCATTGTATCTGCAAAGTGTAAATTCTTTTTAATTGTCACAAAAAAAGATACTTTCAGTAGTTTTTATTTGCATCAAACGTTTTATTTTTTGTACAAATATACGTAGGTATGATTTGTTGGGGGGCGGTGCCATAGAGAGGTAACTAGAAGCAAATATTAAGTATGCAGCTTTGCTAAAGTCCTCACCCAGCTAAACTCCCAAAATTTGACCAGATATCAAAATTTACTTTGTGGAATGGCATCTCTGTTGAGCAGAGGACCTTTCATTACGCTCTTAAATGCTGAAAGGATTTAAAACATTAAGTAATTGTTGTGCTTGTCTTTTAACCCTTTGAACAGCAGAACTTGGAGAGTTGAGTTAAAGGGAAATAACTGAGAGATCCGGAAGAGGCATGGCACATGGAACTAGAACAAGCTACCCTGCTGGATGAAATAAAGGGTTTGGTTCGAAATTCCAATCAGCTGAAGAAGCCTGGAGCATACAATGGCCGAAATGTTGTGAACATGGCAGTGAAGATGAGGATAACCATCCAAATAATGTCACTTTTGTATTAACCACATTTATGTGACGCGTTCATCAATAAAATCTTTTAACAATTTCTTCCATTTTCCTTTTTTTTGTTAGGTTATCAAGAGAATCTAAGGAAGATTGTATCATAAAAGGACTGAAAATTTCAAAGAATACAGGAGTCTTAATTTCTACAATGACATTACATTATGATCCCAGATATTGGCCCGAACCTGAAAAATTTGACCCTGAACGGTAAGTGTTAACACTATTTTTGGTAGTCACAGATCTTTTTATAAAGAAAGTTGATGAACTTTTTCAAGTTAACATTTGATAGAAATCAGAAAGTAGTTAAAGAATAAGAGGCTGATTCTCTTCGGTGAAATTCTTTCCAAAAAACATTTTTTCCCCATTCTCAAGGTCCCTTTTAAAGGGATCTGAAACTAGGTGAATGGAAGTATATATCACCACCACCCCAACCTCTGCCACCATCAGTCTATCCATATTCTGCACTGATGCATGAATTGCAAATATTGGTTATAATGGTTAAATACCAAAACCAAGACTCGGATGAGGATTTAGAAACAAGTAATTTATCTGCCTGGGGTGAGCAGAGAAATGTTTTCTGTCTCTCTACTGTTATATGGAAAAAGATGTCAAATTTAATTGCTGATGGGGAATCTGGAATTCTAACCAGAAAACATACAGATCTGTTGCTCATGGAATGGTTTCTTGGAATTTAAATATTCTTAATGGATGCTAGGAAATGTTACAGTTGGATGACACAGTAATTTATCAAGTTACCTCAAGATGATGTCTTGCAGCAGAGAGAGAAAAAAATATTTTTACATATTATCTTCATGATACAATCATATTATGTGTAGTGTTGATGAAAGTAGCATTTCAGTTTTTTTTGCATTTGTTGCTTTACTTTTGCCAGATATTGTATGGAAGAAATCTACCTTTAAAAAGGCCGAGGACATTCTCCTGCCAATTCCACTGGCACCATGATGCAAAGAAAAACTGATTCAGGCTCATTCTGTCATTTGTAACACAAACTAGTTTATGGAATAGCCCAGATGTGTTTTGTTTGCTTTGGTTTGGTTTGGTTTGGTTTACGGTATATCAACCACAATGGGTTATTTATTGCTTCTAAAATGTTTTTCAAAAATTATGTTTATATTTTTTCCAAAAAAGTATTGCTGGTAATAATTTTTTCTTCAAACATTTATTGCTGGTAATATGTTTTTTATAAAAACGTATTGTTGGTATTAAAACCTATTTTTACAACGTTTTGACCCCAGTTTGAGTGTCAAATATTTGCCCATAGCTGGGACCCTAACAGGTGCTACCACCTCGGGTCAGGGTGGACCTGAGAACACAAGCAATTAAGAGGTGATTCTATGCTCCTAAAAACATTTCTGTCAAGCTGAAATTAAAGCCTTTCAATATATTTATCATGATAGTGTATGCAGTAATAGCACAAAGTAATGAAGAAGAAATCGAAGATTTCTACTCAAAGCTGAATAATGCCAAGGCTTCTTGCAAATCACAGGAAGTAATCATTATCATGGGAGACCTGAACATCAAAGTAGACAGCAAGAGGGCAGGGGATATAGCCAGAAAATTTGGTCTAGGAACTCGCAACGAACATGGAGAAAAATGGAACCAGTGGTTCACTGCCAATGACCAGGTAATAGCCAACACATGGTTCCAAGAACATCCGAGATGATTATGGACATGGAGGTGACCAGGAGAAGAAACTAAAAACCAAATAGTCTACATAAATATCAACAAAAGCTTTAGGAATGCAATCGTTCACTGAAAAACCTACCCAAGTGTTGACTGTGGGAGCAATCATCACCCTGTTATAGGTAAGCTAAGAGGTAAACTGCGGGAATTGAAGAAGTTTAATACAGCACCCAAACAGCAATGCAACAATCTCCTGAGCGACCTGAACTTGAATGAAAAATATACGGAAAATGTGAAATGAACATACAAGGGACACAATGGAAACTCAAAATGAGATGCACTAAGAGACACTTTAGTGACATCAGCAAGCGATATCATCCCAAAGGAGACAAGACAAAGAAGAAAAAAATGAATGGATGACTGATGAGATTCTCAACATGATGCAAAGGAGATAGGAAACTATGCCAAGATACAGAATGGAATACAGAAAATTACACAATGAAATAAGGACCAAACACAGGCAGGCTAAAGAAGAATGGCTAAATGAAAAATGTGCAGAAATAGAAAGATTGAGTACTACCAACAAAAAAGGCATGTACAAACAAATAGGCAACTAATAGGACAGAAGACATGCTCGTCAACAGGCTGCCTAAGGGAGGGAACGCTCATATTAGAAAAGGAAAAAATTCTTCAATGCTGGAGCGAGTATATTGATAACCTCTTCCAGGATGAAAGAGAACAAGCAGCAATACACAGAACTACCGACGGGCCTGAAATTCTAAAAGTCAAAGTAGAAGCTGCACTGGCCAAATTGAACAGAAACATGGTGGCAGGGCCAGATGTAATCGTAGCGGAAATGCTGACAGCCTTAGATGAATTTGGCATAGACAAGATCACAGAAATAGTAAATGAAATCTACAACAGTGCGGACATACTGGAAGATCTCAGCAGATCTATTTTCATAGCACTGCCTAAGAGATCAAGTGCAAACGAATGTGAACTCCACCGAACAATCAGCCTAATGAGCAATGTGACAACACTCATCAGCTGTATTCTGATGAATAGAGTGCGCAGCAGAATTGGGCTTGATATAGGACAAGAACAGTGCATGTTTGTCAAAGACAACGGAACAAGGAATGTGATATTCATGCTTAGAATGTTATCAGAAAGAGCAACAGAGATGCAGAAGGACATGTATCTATATTTTACAGACTACACAAATGCATTCAACAAAAGTATGCTACAAGGATCTAGTGGGAAAGATATCAGAATAATCAAGAACCTATATTGGCAGCAAATGACATACATGCGCATTGAGAATGAGTTCAGCAAATATACAAAAACAGGAAGGGGCATAGGCAAGCATGTGTCTTTTAATCGGATTTATTCAACCTATACAGAGAGGCAATTCTGAGAGAATCGAAGATCCTACCGGGATTCATCACTGGTGGCCACAATCTTACCAATATAAAATACACAGATGAGTACTGATAGCAGATATGGAAAAGAAACTACAAAACCTCCTACAGAAGGTAGAGAGGAGAGCAATAAGAAAAGGACTAACCATAAACTATAAGAAGACAGAATGCAAGGTCATCAGTAAAGGATGAGCCCAAAATGCGATTTGCAGGTTGGGGACACTAAAATTACGCATGTGCAGAAGTTTAAATATCTAGGAAGTGTTTTGACAGAGAATGGTGGGTGTGACACTGAGATCTGAAGACAGATTGGGATGGACAAGGAAGCATTCCAAAAGCTGGTCAAAGTACTGCAAAACAGGAGGATTTCTTTGGTGACAAAGAAAAGAGTACTGAGCTGCTATGTGACATCTGTCCTCCTATACTGCAGTGAATGTTGGACAGTATCCTCAAGGATGAAGAAGATACTCGAGGCAGCAGAGATGTGGTTCTACAGAAGGATGGAGTGAGCATGTGAACAACAATGAGGTCTTGGAGAGGATGCAAACAAGGATGAAGCTTATACTTAACATAAGGAAAAAGCAGGTGAAATTTCTAGGACATGTAATGAGAAAGGAGGAACTGGAGAATCCGATACTCACAGGTCGAAGAGAGGGAAAAAGAAACAAAAGAAAGCAAAGCATGACATACCTGGTGGGGTTAAGCAATGTGGATGACAGAACTTGGTCTGGGGGAGTTGGTAGAAACACAAAACCTGTTGAGAGCCACAAGAGATAGGGGGAGAGCCATGATTGCCTAACATCCTGAAACGACATGACACATAAAATGAAGACTAGACTGGCGTCAAGTTCTCATCAATTTACAGTTGAGTTAGATGTAACCATAAATTCTGTGCTAACAGTTTCCTTTCTTGCACTTCTTGCCTGTAGAAGTCCTTTTTGGCTCAATGCTTTCCAACCAAATTTAATCTGCAAAAATTTAAATTCTATTTAATGTCCTCCTGATTGCTCTTTTCTCTTCCTGCTCATTAGCAATGTTTCTAGTTTTTAATTTTCCCACCAGTAACCCCACTTTGTGGCTTTACTGCCTCACATGGGTTGAAATTGATTAATTGTTCTCCCATAATGTTTCTTTCATTTACTTTTCACACAAAATTCATACAGTTGTGTAAAATAAAAATGTCAATAGATCTGAAAATTTCTTCTTGACTGACTTCAACAGACTTCTCTGACTCACTTGGAGTTCTTTATTTAAGGTGTCTTGCCTAGTTCATTTGTGTTGCTGGTTGTGTCTTATTAACTCCACAACATATTATTTACTATTCACACAAAATTCATACAGTTGTATAAAATAAAGATAGCTATAGATCTGAAAAGAATAATTGTATTGATGCAATATACAAACATTCAATCCAAACTCACTAATCATCAAGAAAGTCCACCATAAACTATAAAAAGACAGAATGAAAGGTCATCAGTAAAAGGATGAGCCCAAAATGCTATTTGCAGGTTGGGGACACTAAAATCAAACATATGCAGATGTTTAAATATCTAGGAAGTGTTTTGACAGAGAATGGTAGGTGTGACACTGAGATCTGAATTCAGATTGGAATGGCCAAGTATGCATTCCAAAAGCTGGGCAGAGTACTGCGAGAAAGGAGGATTTCTTTGGTGACAACAAAGAGAGTACTGAACTGCTATGTGACATCTGTCCTTTTATATGGCAGTGAATGTTGGACAGTATCCTCAAAGATGTAGAAGAGATTTGAGGTGGCAGTGATGAGTTTTTACAGAAGGATGCTAAGAATAACATGGAGCAAGTAGACGAGCAATGATGAGGTCTTGGAGAGGATGTAAACAAGGAGGAAGGTTATACTTAACATAAATGCAATCTAAATTCACTAATTATCAAGAAAGTCCACTTTGTTTATTTTTATCAGTTTGTGGTTTGTATATTTGCCTTAAGATTTCTTAGATTGATCCCAATTTCTAAATGGGAAAAAAACCTCTTTAATTCTTTGGTTAAACAACTGCCAAATCTGTTTTGCATAGGACAATGAAACTTTAGGAAGAATAGTTTGGATGAGATCATCAGGAACTGCTTTATTCAAAAACATCTGATGATCCAAATCTGTTTTTTATGGGACAATGAAACTTTTGGAAGAATAAATTGGATGTGATCATCAGGAACTGCTTTATTCAAAAACATCTGATGATCCAAAGTAACATTCTCCTTAGTTAAAGAGTCAACTACTTTTTTTTCAAGAGAGTCAAAACATTTCCTTCAATAAAGAATTGAACAAATGTTTTCATAAATATGATGAATATTTTTGTCATTACAGCTTCAGTGAGGAAAACAAGGCCAAACAAATACCCTTCACTTATCTTCCTTTTGGTGGTGGGCCACGAATCTGTGCTGGAATGCGATTGGCTCAACTTGAATTCAAGATGGCTGTTGTACAAATGCTGAGGAAATTCCGTCTTGTTTCTTGTGACAAAACTGAAGTAAGTATTCTTAATCTCCACTGATCATCTTCAATACAAATACAGTATAATGTACAAAAATAATATTTTTTAATTCTTTTCTTTATAAAGTGTTTCTGAAAACTACTTTTCTCTGTTAAAATCTTCGTTTTACTCTTTCTTTCATTCTTGTTTCTTTGGGTTTTCATTTCCATTTCTTGTCAGACATTAGAAAATAAAAATGATTCCTAGAAAAAATACCAAAAAATCTTCAGAATAAAACTGGGAACTATAAAATTATTTTCAATTTCTTTTTATCATTGCAGAAGAAAATTGAATTTGCAAAAGCAGGGCTGCTTAAGCCGAAAAATGGAGTCTGGATTAAAATTGAACACCGTTGAGATCAAAACATATTTTAATATCACATTGTCTCATAAATTTTAGATATTTTTTATATTAGTTTAACATTTTGTAATTATGTACAAGTTATGTAATAATAAACCAAAATTTAAATTCATTTTTTTTTTTTTTTAATAAAATGATTTTATTTTCTCATATTTTTCCATATTGTCCCAGTTGTGGATCTTTAATGAAGTTCTAGGATTTTTTCCCATTCTTTCTAAATGTTCGTTCAAATACTAATTCTTATAATTTTGAATCAAATCATTGCTCACAGCTTTCTAAAATTGGAGCTACTTGCAACATTTTCAATTGTTGCAAATGGAAACATTTAGATGGTCTCAAATGACTAATACTCATTTTTATACTTCAGTTATTTTCTTTTCACCCCACCCATCGAAAGCTCCTCTTTCCTGAAAAACAAATGATGAGTAAGAGATTCACTTTCAACTGTATTCTAAAGAAAGTTCTCCACATGTAAATAAGGATCCAAGAAAATCCCTAATTCATCTTTCTTCCTAATCACCAGCCTGTTAAATCTCCTGGAAAGATTTACTCTCATGTAATCTGCATCTATGTAACTTATATATATATATAGTTGTTGCATATAATCACCCAAGATGCTACCAGATGTTTATATTTGGGGGTGATGAAAATATACATTGAAACATTAACAAAATGAACTGTATTTTCTTGATTCTTCTATTAAATATTGTTTACCAACAACTCAGTGTTTTTATTTTTACTTCTTTGAAATGTCTTGTGGAGTTGATTTTTGTTTTGTTTTGTGTATGTATGTGTGTGTCTGTGTGTGTGTGTTTGTGTGAGAGAGAGAGAGAGAGAATAGAGAGAGAGAGAGAGTAGCAGTGGAGGAGGTTCAGATCCCAAAATCTGAAATCCAGAATAGCAATTCCAAAAGTCATAAATCTGAAATCTAGACATATATAGTCAAGACTGGTAGGCAAATTCAAAAGATGGCCATATTTCCAGACCTTTTGATTTTTTCTGTTTCAACACGCACCACAAGGAATATAAATTCCTTTTTGAGGTAAAACTTGATCACCTGAAAAGAAGATTTTTCATGCAGATACATGAATCATTGATTTTGTTTTTTTAATAATACTATATCAGCAAGGGTACCTGACATTGCTCAAGATTGTGTGGGTGGATGGGGGGTTTAATAATCCCAGAAATTAGTATCACAGAAAAAATAAAAACATATGAAAGAGTAACTGTTTGTGAAGAAAAAAATAATATCCATAATAAAACAAATCTTATCCCTTAATTTGATAGAACTTCTCAATCTACAAGTACCAATGCCATTATAAGCAGATTTTGGGATGCAACCCAAAATGGCTAGTCTTGAAAATCCTGGTAATAAACTGATATAATGGAATATGATTGGTTAGTGTCTGCCATAAATACCAATGGACATGTAGGAGAGTCAAGAGCCTTAGTCTGAGAGCTAAGTCTATAACGACGCCCATTGGACTACGCCATTGATCTACACTTCTTACCTGCGACTACAACGCATACCAGTCGATTACTGCTACCATATTCTACTTGGTTATAGTAGCCAAAACCACTTAGCTATTTCGTTCAAATATATCATAAACACATTCTCCTTTTTGCCTACACAGATGAGAATAGTTGCCTTCCTAACATTGAGGAACAGCAGCTAGACATCAATGTGAGTTTATTGTATAATATTAGAAGATCCAATTTTCTGAGAAGAAATTAGTTGAATGCAGCTCAAGATTTGATCTTGATTAGGCATTGACTAGTTTTAGAGCTGTTTAGAATTGAAAATTGACTTGTACAGCTGAACCTCTCACGAATATATTGCAATGGCTTCTAATTTTTCTTTGGTACAAGGACCACTTGTAGTTTTAGAAAATATAAAGAAAATAATGTGTAGATAAGAAATATTTATATAAGCCTCAGAGATCCCAAAAGAAAAAGGTGTGTCCTCCAGAAGATGTGAAATCTCAAAAGGGCAGGTGTTGTGAGAGAGAATATTTCTCTACAAGTTTCAACTTGGCCATCAGACAAAAGACATAGAAATGCTCCATCATCAAGAGGAGTAGTAGTAGCAACTGTCTTTTCCTGATATTATATATATATAATGGACTCTCCCATCGGTTTCGACATATGAGGATCTGCCAGCTTATTGATTCAGTTATGAAAGTTTATGCGCTAATCTTAAGTGACATTTAAGACCCGCTAGTGATTTACAAAGGAGGTCGCATATGGAGCAAGTGTGAGGATTGTGAAATGAGATCATTGTTAGATTGGTTGACCTTTTAGATCTTGCTCTCGCTTCTTGATGATTCAGACAAGCAGATTGAAAATTGCTGAGTCCACTAAAACACGTTGATCTCCATTCTACCTGCTCCAAAGCTAAGCGCTCAAGGGTGTTATGTGGTATATTAACTGCTGGCAAGTTGCTTTTCAGCTTGTCTTTGTATCTTAGCCATCGGTGTCTTACATTCCTGTAGCCCTGATCTAACTGGCTGTACATTAGGATCATGGGTATCCTGTCATCAGACATTCTCAAGAGATGACCAGTCCATCGTAACTGAGACTGTATGATAAAAGTCTCGATTCCTCCAATATTGCACCTATTAAACAGGTCTATGTTCGTTGTCCTATCTTGAAGCTTAACTCCTCAGATTGCACGCAGGTAGCTTTTATGGAAAACATCTAGCTATGGTACCTGTATGGAGTCCATGACTCTGAGCCATACAAAAGTGTATATATATATATATGCTTGTGCTGTCTCTTTCTGATGTTATATATATGCTTGTATGTATTCTCATTCCCTCTATGTCTGTGAGCATTAGATAAATCAATTAATGAAGAAAAGATGGAAAAATAGATTTCTTGCTTTACAAAGACTTGGTCTCAGGAGACTTTCAAGAAGGTTAAGAAGATGGCAAGCAAAGCACCTGTGTTGAGATACTTTGACCACAACTCTTGGTCATCCAGTGTGATGCAAATGAGAAGGGTTTAGGAGCCTCACTGCTCCAAGAAGAAGGCCAACCCCTGTCCTATACCAGTCAACCCCTTACCAACACAGACATTTGGTATGCACAAATTGAGAAGGAATTACTAACTGGTCAACGCATGTGAATATTGTCACCAATACACATTTGGCCAGCACATTACTATTTTGACCGACCACAGACCTCTTGAAGTGATAATGAAGAAGATCTTGGCAAAGTGTCCAAAGTGGCTGCAGAATATGTTGATTTGCCTGCGGAGATACAATGCCACAGTGTTATATCATACGAGGAAAAAGGATGTATATCACATACACACTTTCAAGGCCCTACTTATCTGATGTCAGCTGTGCAAATGAGGAGAATGATATCCGGGAAGCAGATATCCTTGTGTCAGAAAGGATGCTACCCAAGCTGAGAATGGCAACCAAAGATGACTGATCCCTGCAGCAGTTGTAGTGGATCATAGAAGGATAGCTAGATAAAAAATTACACCTCGACCCAGAAATGAGGTCATATTTCAGTTTTTGGTATGAAATGACTCTACAGGATGAGCCTTAATTTCAGAGTCAGGAATTTGATGTTTTTTATGACGAGATGGTGTTTTACACACATGCCCATTGGCATTTACAACAGCAAGGCTAATGGCAAAATGAAATCAGCAATAAAGATGGTGAAGAATCTTTTCCGGAAAGCCAAAGCCGTGCAGGCGGATTTATATTTAGCAATGTTGGATCATTGAAACACACCTCGAAAAGGTTTTCTGTCACCAGCAGAGAAGCTTTCTGTCAAGAAGAAAAACTCTTCTAGCAACCACAAATGACTTGCTAAAACTGGAAATAACTAGAAATATAAAACAAGCATTGACTTGAGAAGGTAGAAAGCAAGAACTCTACTTGCCACCTCTACTTCCAGGGGCGATTGTGCGGTGAATGTAAGAAATAAGGAATGGAAAAAAGGAATTGTAGCAAGAGAATAGACTTATCTCGCTGGGTGAAGTGAATTGATGTGTAAAATCCAACATGGCTGTCGTCGCAATGTGGTGAGGAGTGGCCATCTGCAATTGTCCCACTACGCATGCGTGACAGTACTCTTTTTAATAAAATGCATGTGTGATTGCAAATAGTAATAAATACTGGTTTATGCAGTCAGATTGGGAGCGACCTTGTATACGGAGTGTTTGTTTCAACCAGAGTGCGTAGAAGTTTTGCTGCGAGAGTTGAAACCTGTTGATTTGTTGTGCAACCTGTGCATTTACGTCCCTGTTTTTTGACTGTTGACGCCCACCCAGCTCAGATTTAACTTCAAACTATTTTGCAATTTACATATAATGGACACATTTGATGTACTGGTGGTGCGTGAAAAGCATCTTGGTTACGGCCTATTGATTGAAATCGATGCAATTATAGCCCTAGTGGGTGTTAAGATCATGTCAGTTGGAAATGTACTGCTTGGCGGTGGTGGTGGTGGTGGGAGGCAAGAATCATGCACAGCTATATCTATTGAGGAACTCGACTTTTGCACCACATTTGACCACAAACAGAGGGTCTGACTGTAAGGTGGAAGTGAGCCATGAATGAAACACTAGATCAGCTGCGTAATGTAATTCCAGAGTACACAGTGTCTAATAAGATCAGGGCTGTGTACGAGGAGGAGCTGCAACTAATGGTTGGCTGATACCATACCCACAGGAATAGCTAGGACCCCCAAAGGGATTGATCCCACTGATGGCCATTATGCAGTCCACCAAAGACAAAGTGTAATCAGTAATGGATTACAGAGAACTGAACCAACTTGTGGATGCCTTCACCGCAAACGCAGACGTTTGCGCTGCCGAATTAAGGGAGTGGCGCCAGCAGGATGTTAAAGTAGCCCTGCTGGACTTGCGGAGGGCCTATATGCAGATAAGAGTTCATGAGTCATTGTGGCCATTTCAGACAGTATTAATTAAAGGAACGAGCTATTGTGTGACACGTTTGGGTTTTGGCCTCAATGTAGCA